TCACAACTCCAGACTTGTTCCCACCTTTCGAGCCATAACAAAATGTTAGATATGATGATGTGCAACATGAAGTACCTGAGTTGCAGGATCCTATGCAAAAAATTGAGGATCAAGAGGAAAGAGATGAAGACCCGGATGAAGAGGGTATTGAGTAGGGGGAGCAACCCCCTCAACAAGAGGCAACTAGGCCTCAGTTACGGAGATATCCCGTTTCTTAGTATATTCTGATTACTGATGAAGGGGAGCCCGAGAGTTTTTCGGAAGCAAAGAGTCATACATAAAAAGACTGTTAGATGCAAGCCATGAAGGAGGAGATGAGTTCTTTGCAGAAGAACCACACTTATGAGCTTGTTCCACTTCCACGAGGCAAGAGAGCCTTGAAGAACAAATGGGTATATAAGTTGAAGAAAGATGACAACGGTAAACTATTGCAGCATAAAGCTCGTTTAGTGGTCAAAGGCTTTGGGCAGAAGAAAGGAATTGACTTTGATGAGATCTTCTTCCCAGTTGTGAAGATGACTTCCATTCGAGTAGCTCTGGGATTAGCAACTCGCTTGAATTTGGAAGTAGAATAGATGGATATCAAGACTGCCTTTCTCTATTGTGATTTGAAGGAAGTGATCTACATGGAGCAACCAGAACGATTTGAAGTTAAAGAAAAACAAAATCTAGTCTGCAAATTGAAGAAGAGTCTTTATGGCCTGAAGCAGGCGCCGAGACAATGGTACAAGAAGTTTGATTCATTTATGGTGGATTACGAGTACACAAGAACGGTAACAGACCAGTGTGTATATTTCCGAAGGTTTTCAGATAGAAACTGCATCATCCTATTGTTGTATGTCAATGATATGTTGATCATTGGACATGATAATGCTATGATCAACAAGTTGAAAAAAGACTTGTAGTAGTATTTTGACATGAAGAATTTAGGCCCAACACAGCAGATTTTGGGCATGAAGATTGTTTGTGACAGAAAAGACAAGAAGATATGGTTGTCACAAGAGAAATATGTTGAACGGGTGATTGAAAGGTTCAACATGAAAGATGTCAAGCCAGTCAGCACACCACTGGCCAACCATTTCAAGGTGACAAAGCGTTCGTGTCCCATGACCAGCTCTGAAATGAAGAAAATGGAAGCAATTCCTTATTCTTCCGCAGTAGAAAGTTTGATGTATGCAATGGTGTGTACCCGGCCAGATATAGCTCACGCAGTTGGCGTTGTGAGCAGATTCCTCGCCAATCCAAGAAAGGAGCATTGGGAGGTGGTCAAATGGATTCTTAAGTACTTGAAGGGAACTTCAAAGATGTGTCTATGTTTCGGGAGAACTGAACCAAATTTGAAGGGTTTTACAGATGCCGATATGGCAGGTGATCTTGATGGTAGAAAGTCTACATCAGGATTTCTGTTCACCTTTGTAGGGGAAGCTGTTTCATGGCAGCCCAAACTACAAAAGTATATTGTTTTATCTACAACAGAGGCAGAGTACATCGCTGCTGCAGATGCTGGAAAGGAAATGTTGTGGTTAAAGCGATTTCTCCAAGAATTGGGTCTACAGCAAGAAGAATACAAGGTACATTATGATAGTCAGAGTGCAATTGATCTGAGCAAAAATGTCATGTACCATTCACGTACAAAGCACATTGATGTCTGGTATCATTCGATGCGAGAAGTGATGGAAAAACAGCTAATGAAACTAGTGAAGATTCACACGGACAAGAATCTTTCTGACATGATGACCAAGGGTGTCACCAGAGACAAATTAGAAGTTTGCAAGAATCTGGTTGAGATGGACTTCAAGTGAGAAGTCAGTTATCCATATGGGCATGGAGGGGGAGAATTGTTAGCTCCAGCCCACTACCCACATGGTAAAAGTAGCACCAACGTGCCAAAGGGAGATGGTGGGGGCAGCACCAACTCGCTAAAGGAAGATGGTGAGGGTGGCACCACTAAGTCCACTCATTGTTTGTCCCTTAACCCACTTCTCCTTTCTTGTGTATAAATTGAGATGAGTAAGGAGAGGTTGAACAAAGTGAGACAGAGAGGCAAGAAACATCAGCGTGTATGTAATCTGTGAGTGAAAGTGTTATAGAGAGAAAGTGAAGCGTGAGTGTTGTAAACTCCCTCCGGAAAATTCTATAGTGGATATCTCTCCCGTGGACGTAGGCTACTGTCGAACCACATAAATCTCTTGTTTTATTGTGTGTGATTGATTTCTGGTGCCTCATTATTCTTAACAGTTAAGAGTGGAAACCTAGAATTATTTGGGACTAAATTAGCTAACAAAAAAATAAAATAGATTAATTTAGCTAATAAAACAAAATATCACATTCAAATTATAATTATTTCATTTTTTTCTCTCATAACCATCAAAATTAATTAAAAAAAAGTCAAATTATTTCAAACAGAATTTTTTTAATCAAGCCAAAATAGCCAAAAGACCAGCTGAAAAAATTTATCCCAAATGGAGTCTATATGTTGTTTAGAATTGTTAACCAAATCAACCAAGGGCTTGTTTGGGGTTGGTTTCTAAATTTTCTCAATGACCTATTTTTTTTATTCGTATTTTTCAGTTAATTAATACAAAACTAAAGTGTAGCAAGATTAAACAATTTATAAAAAGTTGATTCCAAACGACAATTTCTATAATAGGTGAAACTTGAAAGAGGGCGTTACTCATTTTAATAGTTGAAAGAAGGTGGAATTATATTAACAATTCCAATAATTTAAAATTTGTGCTATTTTAGTTTTTAATTTTTTAATTGTGATATATTTGATTTTAAATTTTAAATCTTATTTCAAATAAGGACAATTAAATATGTTTTTTTTTGTGAATAATCTATTTCAAGGACAAAGTTATCAAATAACTTATTTTGTATTGGTTAACTTGTATATTGTTTGAAATGTAATGACATTTTTTTAAATAAATAATGCTGAAGTTTTTTTGGTTGTAAAGTTCTGTTTAATTTAATTTTTAGAATTTATTTTCAGAAAAAAATTTCTAAGAAATTTAAAATTAAATTGCTGAAAAAAAATTAAAAACACGTCATTTTTATATAATTTTATCTTTTTGAAGGGTAGAAATAATTTTTTAAAATAATTTTTTTTATATTTATTTTCATTAAATTAGTTTCAATTTTTTCAAAACTCAAATATGACGACAACTTTGACGTTATTATTAAACTAATCCATTAAATTAAAAAATCCAAAACTAAAAGCATTCATATATTAAATATATTGATTACATATTAAAAACATAATAAGCATCTATTACATGATAACAATAAAAAAATATATATATGTTAACAACAAATACAACCATCTATTACATTATAACCATTCAAAAATATCATAAAAAATAAACATCCATTATATGATCATCATTCAAATATATACTAAATATCTAATTTCGTTTATTATTTCTAATCGATTAGTTTTAAGTTTTTCATTAATTTCTTTTAATAACCTAATTACGATATTATTTTGTTATATTATTATTCGTAAAGAAGCATTATTATTTACATTATTAGGTTCAACTTCTTCACTATATTTAATACTCATGCAAAATGTTTTGGCAGGACTGAGAAACCTGACTCTGATACCAAATTCAATTGCAAATTTGCAATAAATCTAATTTAATATTAACTCTTATAAAATTTTTCGTTGATAACCTATGTTTGCCTCATGCATAGAGTCTAAGATCATTGTCAATTGTAAAAGGGAAAATGTTATAGATTTCAAATTTTTTATTAAATAAATGATCAAATATCTCACATGAGTGTGAACTCTATACTTTTATAGACCCCACACGTATGTAAGATATTTAATCATTGATTTAATAAAAAATTAATATCTCTATCATTAGTCAAAGATCACTGTCGATTAATTTCCCGCTGCGTAGAGATCATTGTCAATTGACTGGATGGTGATTAAGCGTGTTCTTGATTGGGTGTTGATTATTCAAAGCAAATAAAATTATGTTTTCATTTTGAATTTTTTTTTATATTTAAAACTATGATTTCCCCATTAAAAATTTGTTCGTTTCGTGTAAAGGTGTAATTTTGATCCGTGGCCCGCGGGCGGCCTGAGGTGAGCCCCGTCCGTTAAGACCCGAGCCCAAGTCCAGCCCGAGGCATTGGGCCAGGGCCTAGGCTATCGTCTTGGCCCGATCGTGGCCCGGCCCATCGGTCCGCTCAAGGCCCGCCCAAAAGGCCGGCCCAAGGCCCAATGTTATTTTTAATGAAAAATAATAAAAATTTGGTGGAAAAAATAAAAAAAAATTAAAAATTGTTTAGGCACGCCCAAAGCTCGAGCCTAGGCCCAAGCCTAGGGGCCCGACCCACTGGTCCTCCCAAAGCCCAAATACCCCTGGGCCTAGCTTTCTGGCCTAGCGCTAATTTTTTGCGGGAGCCCGCAAGGCCCGACATGGGCCTGGTCGGGCCCGAGCCCAAATTGGCTGAGTGGAAGGTACATGTAAGATCAGGGAAATTATTTAATGTTTTGAGAGTATCACGTGTTTGTATTTTTTAATCAATCATCATTTAATTTGTCTTTTTATATTTTTTAATCACCTAACACAATTTTCCATCTATGCATTTTTTTCACCAATTATAGTATTATGAAATATCACGTATCGATATTCTGAAATTACTGAATAATGTCATTGTCAGTTGGCTAGTTTTGTGGGTAATAGTAATGTCATTGTCAATTGGCTTGGATGCAAAGGAGAATTTTAATAATGTCATTGTCAATTGGCTTGGATGCATAAGGACAATTTTAATAATGTCATTGTCAATTGGCTAGTTTTGTTTAATGTCATTGTCAATTGGCTTGGATGCAATGGGATAATTTTGTAGGGACAATTTTGTAGGCATTTTTTGGACAGTGGTTTTTTTGAATATATAGTTCTCTCTCTGGACCAATTGCTACTATCTCTTTCTACAGCTCAACTTTGCCGTTAAAACCGTTCTTTCTTTCGTACCTCTCCAAACGTTTCTAAGTCATGCCCAAATCGAGAAACATGTTTAAAAAACTATTCAATAGTAGAAAATCTAAGAAAGGTAAATGATTTTTTTTTATCTGATTTATATCTGAGTCACCAAATATGCGTTTATATTTATTTTCATCTTCTTGCGCTCATGAACTGTTGTTTTTGGTGGCTGTGTTGTTATTGAAGATATAGAGGAGATCGTGGCACAACGAGGACCGAAGCAATTCACTTTTGAAACCCTTTATTCTGCAACAGAAGGTTTCCATGAGAAAAACAAGCTTGGCAGAGGCGGTTTTGCTAATGTGTACAAGGTAAGGGAATCATATCATCATATTCATATGGGAGAGAAGCGTATTGTTGAGTCTATGTTTTGATAATTCAAACCGTTCAATATGTAGAACTTGTCAAGCATTTTATACTTACAAACAATTATATTGATCAAATATCAGTAACACTTTTACTGGAATACATTTTTTTTTTGTCAATGGTAACTTTGATTTTCAAAGGATAAAATGCTTTGGCAGCTTTTTCAAGCTGAGAAGATCGATGGGGCAGGTTTCCTACTCGACCAATTGAATTGGAAAATTAAAAAAGTCTTAAAAAGATAAAATTAAGCAAAAAAATATTAGATTTATTTTTTAATATTTATTTTGGTTTTTAAATTTTTTTTTAAAAAAAATTATTTTAAAAATTTATTTATACAAAACAGATTGAAAAAGTAAAAAAGTTGACATAATTTTTTAAAAAAAAATCACTAAAAATAAAATATTTATAAAAAAATGACTTATTATTCCAAGGAGCCACTGAAAATGTAGGAGCGTGTCATGATAGTTGTTATATATATAATTGTATAAAATATTATAAAATTTTAGGAGAGAGAGTCTCAAGCAAGGCAGTTGACAATTGTTATACATATAAACATCAATGATTCATCTACATACATTTTTGTTTTTTGCAAATTCTTCCAAATGAGACATGTATACTTTTAGTAAGATTAGTAATAAAAATTTAAATAGATAGTAGCATTCTGACACTTGCTCACCCGTCAAAATGGCCTTGTAAAGAAAAATGACCTGGATCCCTTCTCCCCCACCTCCACCACCCCCACACACGTGAGGATTAATGAAAAAAAATAAAAATAAAAAAATTGACCAATGGGGAGCCAGTGGGGGTCGTGGGGGTGACCACCGTGGGGGTCTCAATCACTTCCGCCTTGTAAAAGTAGTATTGGATTGTCAAAAAAATTTCTACTAGGTGTCATTGACGAGTTTCATGTTGGACATTTTTATCATTGCCTTTGTCAAAGTAGTCCTCTGAAACTCGTTCACCTATGGAGTTGTACAGATTTAACATCAAAATTATCTTTAAATCAGATCTCTGAAATTGTACATAGAATTAATTCATTAAGTATGTGCATAAAGAGAGTAAATGGTGGGTGATAATAGAATTAGCTGTTGTTATGACAGAAAATATTCTGTAGGGAGTGTTGAAGAATGGGAGAAAGATTGCGGTGAAGAAACCTTTGGTGATCTCAGAGAAGGGAAAGAAGGATTTCATGAACGAGGCGAAGTTGCTGCTGGAGTGTGCAAACCACCGAAATGTTGTGAAGTTTCTGGGTTTTTGTTCACACGGTGAAGAGATACTGCTCGTATTTGATTTTTCCATTAATGGCAACCTCGACAACCTTCTTTTCAGTAAGTCATCTTTCTTTAATAAAAATAAGTGTAGCAGTAATATTGAGAAATCTCTATTCGAATTCCTACATTACCTTTCATATAACTTTGACAAGTTTTTTTGTGTCTAAATTTTATTCAATCAACAATGTTAGGTATCATGAAAAATCTTTCATGAAAATAATCATGAAAGCTTTGTGACCCTTGGATTACATTTAGAATAAAGCACTACACACTAATCAAGGTAATCCAAGGATCATAAATTTTTCATGATCATTTTCATGAAATTTTTTTCATGATCCCTAACTTTTCCCTTATTCAGTTAGTTAAGTTCGCAACTAATCCTGAGCTTTTCGTATAATTTTTGATGGGCCTAAATTCTGAAGAGACTGGTAGAGCAGATGAGCTTGATTGGAAGCGAACATATGACATAATCCTGGGCATTGCCCGGGGATTGCGTTACCTTCATGAAGAGGCTCACAGTGTGATTATCCACTTTGACATCAAACCTGCCAATATCCTAATCGACGAGAATTGGGTCCCCAAAATTGCTGATTTTGGCACCGCCAGCCTCTTCCCTCAAGATCAAACGGATGTTAATATCAGTCAAGTTGCTGGTACCCCGTATGTGGTTTAAGCATATAATTTTTCTTATTTTTCCGAGCTGGTTATATATATATATATATATATTATTAGCAATTCAATTTAGGATATATATTCGCTATGTGTTGTCACTGAATCCAACTCTTTGATCAGAGAAAAAAAAAAAAAATCAAATCCATCTGATCAGTGTTCAGTTGAGTTTTACAAGAAATACAACATTTTGAAACTTGATTTGTTTTTTACGCTTGTACATGGAATCAGTGGGTATTTGGCTCCCGAGTGCTACGTGTATGGGCCTCTCTCTGTGAAGGCGGACACATACAGCTTTGGGGTTGTGGTTTTGGAGCTGATAAGCAATCAAAAGAATTGGCTATCCACGCTCGCTCTTCCAATGGTGAAGTTCTGCGGGATAAAGTAAGAATAAGCACCTGATCCACATTTTTAGTTTGAACTGAGTTGGATTTGCATTTAGCCATTATCATATAAGGGAGTTGTCTCTGAGCTCATTGTTGAATTAGTTTTGGGTAAGTAGCTCATTGTTGGACCAGCGGGTTCTAGCATGTGTGACTAGCCCTTTGGCCACCAAGTCTCTTCGAAGAAGAGATTTTGGGTTCTATACTCTTAAAAGTAGAATAAGAGATAAGACTTAAGTGCTTGTAAGGAGAAGGTGAGAGTTCAATTCCCCTAAGGTGCTAATCAAACAACAAACTACTTACTTCTGCCGATAAAAAAGAAAAAAAAAAAAGTAGCTCATTGTTGAGTTGTAACATGATTCTTCACCTATTGACATAGGCAGATGCACTCTACAAGAAAGGTAATGTGTTGGAGTTTGTGGACCCGAAATTGGCATCATCAGCTGTCCCTGATCAAGTACGATTGTGTTTGCAAATTGCGGTGATGTGCACCCAATATGATCCACAACTACGACCAACCATGGGTTGTGTGAGCCTAATGCTGTCAGAGAACCATAGCAGCAGCAGCACCCTATTAGAACCAATGAGAGATGGATCATCATCGTCTACAGCTCAAAATTCAGGTGAGTTCAATTCTCGTTTATTCTGTTTGTTTTGCCATAGCTGCTAAAACTCAGTGCCACTGCAACTTCCAAGGGCGTTTTAGGTTTGACAATTTTCCTCTAAGAATTTCTTTCAAGTTGTCAAAATCAAAAGAAATTAATAGTTTTTATCTCTTAGTTGAACTGGTTTTTTGCAAGAGTGTTTGTGGAACCCATGGCACCAGGGTGTGCATTCCTCTTCATTCATGCTCCATCAGCAATTTTCACCTTGAATCTTAAATCAAAATATTTCTAAACTGTGCTATACTAAATCAAAATATTCCTATATAATTTATTATTAATACCAAAACAATTAAAGTAAAAGGGATTGGCTTCTCTCCCGTGGGAGAGACGTTCACTCCAGTGTAGTCTGAGTCATTCATTTTATAGGCCCATGTGTGAAGATCATCTATTTAATAAAAATTCAAATTGATTTGCTAGTTGTAGTCACATGATTTCATTACAATTGTCTTTTTTAAAAAAAAAAGGGGTACATTACACTTTGCACCCTTGCACTTTACACAAAATCTCACTTTAGTCTCTACATATCAAATTGTGACACTTAACCCTCTGTACTTTTGGTCAAGTGTCACATTGGCCCTTCTGTTAATAGTGAGGCTAACAGAAGTTATCATTTAGGGAGCTAAGTGTCACAATTTTGATGTGTAAAGACTAAAGTGAAATTTTGTATAAAGTGCAGGGGTGCAAAGTGTAATTTATCCTCACATTTTTTTCATGTGACTAACCTCCGTTAACAATAGGCTAACAGAAGGGCCAAAGTGGCACTTGACCAAAAGTACAGGGAGTTAAGTGTCACAATTTGATGTGTAGGGGCCAAAGTGGCATTTGATGTAAAGTGTAGGGGTGCAAAGTGTAATTTACCCAAAAAAAATTAATGAAAGACAAGTATAATTTGATTAAACTATGTGCCTACGATTATCAAATCAAACTAATTATATATGTAGATGGTCTACACACACATAAACTCACAAACTGAATGACTTAGATCATTGATGCGGAACCGTGATGGGTTTCACAGGCGCAACTAGATTGGAGAAGAGAAGCTAGTTCCAAAATAAAATTATATATAATTCCTAAAGTCATGTTTGCATCATCGACTACAAACATGATTTGTATTCTTTTGCAGGCTCAATTGAACTCGCTAACAATGGATCATCTGGGCCAAACATTCACTTGGAGAATGAGGGCCTACCTGAATATAGACGAATAACTCGTTCTCCACTAATCCGGCCAGAGGTCGTGCCATTTTTCAGATCCTCATATCCAAGCTCCTCCTGTAGTAGTGGCAATGGCATTCAGATTGAGTTTGAACAAGGTCCTGTAGGGGCTGCCATGCAAGAACAAGAAGAAGGCATACCCATTCCAATTATTAGCAAGGAGGATTCAAGAGAGAAGACTCCTCTCCCACCTGCTTATATTACCAAAGAGCCAGCAAGTTTTCCTGAACCAATTAAAAAGAGGAAGAAGGTGGCCGAACAACTCAAGCCAACAAGTTCTCTTGAACCAACAAAGAAGCGAAAGAAAGTGGCTGAACAGCAGACAGTGGAGGCGGCTGCTAAAAAGCACCCCTTCACCTTAACTGATATTGAAGAGTGGGCAGTAAATTCGTCTCCCAAAGACAGGGTTGGGAATTGGCCTTTGCAGGTTCTCCTTCTCTACATCATAATAGTAATTGTGTTCTTTGTTTTTCTTCTCTATCAACAGATTATTGAAGAATTTAAGGTGGACATAGAAAGGCTGGAGAATTCAATGTTGGAAAAAACAAAACTGGCTATTGATGATGATGCTGAGGAGAACTTCCTGCAGGATAGTACTAAGCTGAAATCTATTAGGAAGCAGAACACTCAATGCCTGGAAGCCAGTTTCAAGAGCTTGGATGATGAAGGAAACAAATCCTCCTGGTGTGAAGGCTTCATTGAGGAAGGTGGGGAGGGGAAAGCCAAGGCTCAACTGACCAGTTTACAAGATGTAAACTTCATGGCCCGTCGGGAAGTCATTTCGAGGAAGGTTGGGGTGGCAGAGGACTCTCCTCTCTTCCCCCAAGTCCCACTCTCTAGCCTTGTTGAGCAGCAGCAGCCCCCCACTGCCGAAGTAGCTGTTGACGACAGTGACCATGGTGGAGGAGGTGTTGCAGACTCCAATGGATAGCAAGAGGCTGTCAGATCCCACAATTACCAATAAGAAGGAGGCTCAACTAATAATGGTGCATGATCTGAGACCAAGTCACATTTTTCTTTTTGAATAATACTCTCACAATTTATCCACAATGATATGACGTATTACATGTCAACTTTTGATTTATCACAAACTCAAACCATTGCCATGTTGTGGATAAATTGCAGATTCTATATTCTCAGAGTGTAACATTGTTTGTGTATTGAATCTCATCTTCTTATTAATTTGGTGGTTTTAGAACTTCCTAGTTTAATACTTAAAAGAAAAGTTCCATGTAAGATCTAACTTTTGATTATTTATTTATTTATTTTAGCCTAAAAGCTAAGTTCCAAATGAGACCACAATGTCAAATATATACAATTCAAAAATTCACATCCATCCAAAGACAACCTAACCTACAAGCACCTAGATATAAAAGTTCATCGACCAATCTAGATTAGTTTGGATAGAAAACCCAGCATGCTAAGATTCTCCAAATGGAGATTTTAATTTAATATTAAGAAAAATCCTTACTTCAGATTTCAGGGCTGCTACGGCTCCATAACAAACATTACATATTATAACGATTCTCACTAAAATTACTTTATAACATTTTAGTGAGCAAATTACTAATTAAGGCATGGTTTGGGAAGCAGCCCGTTTAGCTAAAAAGTTAAAAAGTTACTAAAAAAGTCAACAAGCCACTAATCCATACCAAAAAGTCAAAGATTCTCTTTTCTTTCTACTTTTTGCACAACTTTTTGTAAAAAGCTAAAAAGTCATCCAAACATACTAGTTTTTTTTTAGCTCATATTTTAGCCAAATAGCCAAAAAGTTACTAAATTAGCCTGTTCCCAAATGAGACTTAAATTTGTATAATCTGGATTATCTAACACATCATTAACATCACAAATTTATTCAATCTTGTTTATGACATAGTTGCCTAAAAGTAAGATTTCATCATCTTCAACTTTAAAAATAAAAATTTTCAAAAAACAAATATAATTGATATATCAACAATATTCTATAAACAATTCATACACTTGTAAAACAACAATTTATTACTTTCAAATATTTACAATTGGGTCTTTGGGCCATTTATTTCAAAGTTTAGACTTGGATAAGTTGGATTGGACACTCATTTATTTATTAAGTCCTAATAATTTTTTATTTTATTTTTGAGCCTAGTATAAAGGTTGAACTTATCTAAAAGCCTTATGTTCTTTAAAATATATTAGTCTGAATAGAATGTTCCTAGATATGGTGAATAAGCCAATCTACTACTATATTAAATGTCTAAAGAATACATATTTTCTACTTTTTCTGTATCTCGAAAATATCCTCCCAAGCTAAAAGTTTGAAAAGCACATATGTTTTTTACTTTTTTTTATCCTGAATATACACTTCCAGACTTATTAAATATCACACAACAACCTACATCTACCAAACAACCAAACAACTTCCGGAACACATGTTTTTTACTTTGTTCGTATCCCAAAAATATGGGTAAATTACACTTTGCACTCGTGCACTTTACACAAAATCCCACTTTAGTCACTGCACATCAAATTGTGACACTTAACCCCCTACACTTTTGATTAAGTGTCACATTAGCCCTTTTGTTAGTCCCATTGTTTAACTCTTTAATAGAAGCTAATCACATGATAAGCATGTGACCACTAAATAAGGGAAGGGGGGAAATTGATCCTATTTCCTGCCAATATAGCGTGTGATTGTTCCAAAATATCTATCAATTTAGGGTTAGACCAAAATGCAGATGGTGAACTATTAGGGTTTTGCAAAACGCGAGTCACGAATTGAAGGGAATGGAAGACAAAGGTGTGCATTCATCAGGTAAAGCATAACTTCACAATACTTTATGACAATTGATTATCTTTGTTTGTTGTATGTGGGTTTTTACAATAATTTATTGATTTATCATTTTGTTTGGTTCTGTGTGTGTGGGTTTCTAGAACTATTTCTTGGATCAAATGTAACTTTTGTTCAATTTTTTTATTTACTACTTTATTGGTTGAAGAAAAATGTGTTCCTGAGTGTGTTGGATAGTGTCACGCCCCAAAATTTAGACAATTAAATATTAAATTAGGACTAAACCCCAATCAATATTCCATCATCCAAATCCTAGGGGTGAAACAAGAAAACTAAATGCCAACCAAACCATCCACCATAATTTTATAACTAACCAATACCTCCAATAATAAAGTAACAATACATAGTCAAAATAACATAAATAATGTACAGTTACAAACTATGCCAAATTATCCCAATATTAAGGTCATAAAAAAATTAATAAATACATAAACTAATATCAACCCTAAGCTTAAAAAAAAGAAAAGAAATTCAAGAGTCATGTTCAACAACTATAGTTATTCCACGTCACCACCGTAGTCCTAACTAATCCTGCAAAAGAAGCTCAGTTGCGCTAAAAAAAAACACACCCGAGTTGCCAAGAGACAAAACAGGTCAATATACAGGTATACTGGTATGAGTACAAAATTTAACTCTCACGTGTCCACCAGACACAAACAAAAATACATTTAGTTCTTGTTACGGAACAAGACAAGTAGTTTCATCTGCACCGAGACGAATGGGCAGTTTCTCGAGATACGTTGGCATTTAGTTTCTTGCCCATGCACAACGAAATATAAATTGAGTATAAAATAAACAAAATATAAATAAAAATATGGTGGGTCAGCCCTGCATAAAAAGTTAGTAAGACCCACCATCCTGAAAAAAAATAAAGTTAGTATAATTTAATCCTAAGTAACTGCTGAAGAAGTATAAAAATGCACCGTTTCATGCTTAAATAATTTGAATTAACCAAAACTCAAAGAAAAGAAGTTGTGCAAAATCAAATTTCCTAAAAGACAGCTTGGACAAATTTAGTAGAAACTGAAAAGGTTGAGAGAAAAACTTAATAGAATATCCTAACCGAATTTCGATCAAAAAATTTGGAACTGAAAATGAAAAGAAACTGCTGTAAGATGAATTTTTTTCAGAAAAGTTCAAAATGCAAAAAGTGTTCAGAATAATGTTTTACTTCAATTTACGCAAAACCAATAAAAATGAACTCTTTTCGTGGGTTAAAACAGCATCTAAAGTCTGCATTGCCAAAATGAATTAAAACTACTATAATCAAGATCATCCGATTATAAGTTCTAATCGATCTTTTTAATAAAAAGTTAAAACACAAAAGTTGTCTAGAATCACGTATACATGCCTCTGCTCAAATTTCATAATTTATTGAGGTCGTTTACTATTTTTCAACTTGTACAAATCAATACAATACACACTATAACAATAAACTCATAATTAAATTTTTTGTACCTTAACTCCACCACTTCGGCCCTCCACTTCCGGCCTACACATATATCCCATGTACCTCCCGTATACCTAACACCGCTCCGAAGCCAAACTTGCATGGGGATATCGTCCCGAGTTTGACTTACACTCCCTAGATGGTTAACATATACGTACGCGCGTAAATCAAAGCACTCGTCCACTCATGAGAACGAGGCAACAATATACTTATATAAAACATCTCACTCATGAGAACAAACATAACAATGCCAAGCCTAAGGCATTCCAATAAATCTCATAATCCTCACTATTTTTTTTTACACTCTTTCTCACCAGCACGCAAATAAAACAACAATTCATGGAGTCATGGTGGAGTATTCGGAATATATCTATGGGTTTCTAGCTTATTTTAATTTCATATATCCATGAGTCTAATTACATTCATATAACCATAAAATAAATCCATATAAAAACCTTAAACCTGGCATACACAACTAATCAAAATAATTAAAATCCATCAATCATCTAAAAACCCTAAACCTTACATACACAACTAAACAAAATAATTAAAATCAACCAATCATCTAAAAACTCTAAGCCTTACATACACAACTAATCGAAATAATTAAAATTGATCAATCATCTACATACAAATATGAAATCAATTCAACATCAAATAAATAAATATAAATAAAAAAAAACAACAAATTAAATATAAATCAAGAAAAGTGGGTTTTGTACTCACAATATTTTTTTGAAGATCAAAGAAATATTTGGAGAATTAATGGAGCCACCAAAACAAAACCCTAACCCTTTCTTTTTCTTCCCTCTCCTCTTTCTCCCCTTGTCGTCGTCCCTCTCTTTCTCTTCTTTGATTTCTCACAGTCACTCACACACATTCTCTCTCTCTCTCTCTCTCTCTCTCTCTCTCACGGTTTGCTCCCTCTCTTTTTTGTTTTCTTTCTTCTTAACTTCTAAACCTAATCCCTATTCTAATCTAATTTGACTATTATATAATACAATATAATTACAATATATATAAATATAAATATAAATATAAGATTAATTATATATATAACATCTCTTTTTTTTATATATAACAAATATAAATATATGGATTAATAAATTAATTAAATAATACATTAAATTAATTAATTACTACATTAAATTCTCATGTAACCATGTAATTAATAAAGACAAAAATAAAATAAAGTAATAGTACTAAAGAAAAATGACTTACGAAAAAATCACGGTCTCTACAATATACACACCTCAAAAGAATCTCGTCCCGAGATTCGATAGGAAAGAGTACTAAGCAAAAAGTTCTGGGTGCATACACTGAACTTTCTCTTCTAATTATCAAGTGATATCATTCTCATCCTCGCTCCATTGCACTTTCACCAAGTTTACTTCCTTGCGCTGCAACTGTTTTACATCTCAGTCTAGAATAGTAACCGGTCGCACAACATATGTTAGATTGTCACTAATCTCCAACACTTCTGGTGATACTATTTGGGAAGGGACTTGCACACACTTCCGCAATAAAGATACGTGGAACATGTTGTGAATCATAGCTAAAGCCGATGGTAGAGGTAATTTGTAAGCGACATTACCAATCTTCTCAGTGATCTCGTATGGTCCCACAAATCTAGGTGCCAATTTTCTTTTCTTTCCGAACCGCATGATACCCTTCATTGGCGAAACCTTCAAAAACACAAAATCTCCGACATTCAACTCAACTCCTTTACATTTTTTATCATCATAACTCTTCTGACGACTTTGTGCAGTCTTAATACGTTCTCGAGTAATGTTTACCTTCTTCGTGGTCTCTTTCACCAATTTTGGCCCTAACAATGAGACATCTCCTACCTTCATCCAACAAGCAGGTGATCAATATGGCCTTCCATACAAAGCCTCAAAAGGTGCCATCCCCGAAACTAGAGTGATAGCTATTATTATAAGCAAACTCCACCAATGTCAAGTGTTCTTCCCAACTACCACCAAGATCGAGTACACAAGCTCTCAACATATCCTCTAAGATCTGATTTACCCACTCAGTTTGCCCATCTGTCTGAGGATGATAAGCCGTGCTCAGGTCTAACCTAGCACCCAAAGCATGCTGAAAGCTCTCCCAAAACTCTGCCACAAATAACGGATCACGATCCGAAACTATAGAAACTGGTGCGCCATGAAGTCGCACCATCTTCCGAATATACAGCCTAGCTAGTTTACCCGCAGTTCAGCACCATCTCCCGAATATACAGCCTAGGTAGTTTACCCGCAGTTCGGTGAACATTGATAGGAATAAAATGAGCAGACTTGGTGAGTTGATCCACTATCACCCAAATAGATTCATTGCCTCACTTAGACCGCAGCAATCTATCTACGAAATCCATAGAGATGCACTCCTATTTCCAAGTAGGGGTCTCGAGAGGCTGCAAAAGTCCAAACGATCAATGGTGTTCTGCCTTAACCTGTTGGCACACATAACATCGAGAAATATACTCTCCTACGTCTTTCTTCATACCTTCCCACCAAAACATGCTCTTCAGGTCATGATACATCTTAGTCCTACCAGGTTGAATGGTATATCGAGACTTATGGGCATCATCTATAATCTCTTTCCTCAATTCAACAATGTTAGGTACACATAACCTGTCCTTGAATCGCAATCCCCCATCTGAGTCCACAGACCAATCAGTAGGACAATCATCGATCAAATCCACTATGAGGTCATCGAGCTTGCTGACGAGAAACTCATCTAAATTCTACATCTGACGAACTTTACCCAGTAACGTCGGCTGCACGGTCAAACTACCAATGTATGCCCTCTCAGCACTCTCTATTGGTTGAACATCATGCATCCAAATTAACTCCAAGGACTTCCATTCTTGAATCATCAAAAAAGCTATAATCCCATGTTGTCTAGTAAGTACATCTGAGAGCACATTTCCTTTCCTCGGGTGGTAAAGGATCTCGAAATCATAACTACTGACGAATTCAACCCACATCTATTGCCTTATGTTCGACTCTTTTTGAGAAAAGATATTTGTGGCTCTTATGATCTGTGTACAACTTAAAGTGCTCCCTAAACAAGTAGTGTCGCCACACTTTCAATGCAAAAACAACTGCTGCTAACTCTAAGTCATGATTAGGGTATCGTCTCTCATGAGGTTTTAACTGTCGAGAAGTGTAAGATACAACCTTCTGATGCTGCATCAACACACATCCCAACCCAGTTCCACTCACATCAATAAACACAACTAACTTTTCCCCTTATACTGGTATAGTTAACACCAATGCTGTAGTCAACCGCTGCTTTAACTCCTGGAAAGCTCTCTCACAATCATCTGTCCATAAGAACTTCGCAGTCTTGCTTGTCAACTTGGTCATGGGTGCTACAATAGTGGAAAAATTCTCTATAAATCTCCTATAATAACCGGTTAGTCCTAAAAAACTTCTCACCTTTGTAAGGTTCATAGGCTGCTTCCATTCTTTGACCGCAACAATTTTCTCAGGATCTACCACTATTCCCTGATTGGGCACAACATGCCCCAAAAATTGAACTTCTTTCTCCTTAAAGTGAAACTTACTGAACTTAGCATATAACTGTTGCTCCCTCAAAGTCTGTAATACAACTTTCAAGTGTTCTCTGTGTTCCTTCTCGTTCATAGAATACACCAGGATATCATCTATGAAGATAATCACAAACTTATCTAAATACGGTTGAAAAATTCTATTAATCAAGTCCATGAAATAGGCAGGAGCATTTGTCAAACCAAAAGGCATTACAAGAAATTCATACAACCTATACCGGGTCCGAAAAGCAGTAAGCAGTATACTTTCCTCTGACACACCCATCTAATGGTAACCTATTCTGAGATCAAACTGAGAGAACATGGCTGCCCCCTTCAACTGATCAAACAAGTCATCAATTCTAGGTAGTGGATACTTGTTCTTGATAGTCACCTTGTTTAGCTCTCTGTAATCTATGCACATACGGAGAGTGCCATATTTCTTGGAGACCAAGATCGCTGATGCTCTCCACGGGGAGTTACTTGAACAAATAAACCATTTTTGAAGCATCTCTTCCAGCTGCTTCTTCATCTCCACCAGATCTTTAGGCGCCATTCTGTATGCCACCTTAGAAATTGGTGCAGTTCCTGGCATTAAGTCAATGCGAAATTCTACTACCCATCGAGGTGGAGGTCCAGGTATCTCCCGAAATACATCCTCAAACTCACGCACCACATCTACCTCACTAATATCCTGCTTAGGGATTTCTACCGAGCATAGAAAACCCGTCATCACCGACTCTTCTCCATCGCTAGAAGTGTGGGTAAGCCATGGCATATCGAGAATAGCTATATTTACAGTCCTTCCAACACAATCCAGAGTCACAAAGTAATTTCGCAGCCAATCCATACCCAAAATAATTGTAAACCCCTCAAATCCTAAAACAATTAAGTCTGCATAGAAGAGTCTACCCGCAAAGTCAATCTCAAAATCTTTACACATCTCATAAAGAGTAACTGCCCCTCTAAAGGGGTCTCAACACGAATAGGCCTAAAAAAGGAGGTAGTTACAATATGTTCTCTTTCTACAGACTGTCTAGATATAAAAGAATGAGAGGCACCAGTATCAAAAAGTACTCTAATGGGTTCTCAAAAAAAAAATATATATATATACCTTCCAGCCATCACCTTCAAGTTAAACACACAAAAAGAATTTGTTCATGAATACTTAGAATAAATTCAACCACCAATCTAAACCAGCTAAACTATGTTTCCACAATCCGAGGATCAGCTAAACTCTCACAAGTCTAGGGTATCCTAGAGCTCTGATACCAAACTATCACGCCCCAAAATTTGGACAATTAAATATTAAATTAGGACTAAACCCCAATCAATACTCCATCATCCAAATCCTAGGGGTGAAACAAAAAAACCAAATGCCAACCAAACCATCCACCATAATTTCATAACTAACCAATACCTCCAATAATAAAGTAACAATACATAGTCAAAATAACTTAAATAATATACAGTTACAAACCATGCCAAATTATCCCAATACTAAAGTCATAAAAAAATTAATAAATACACAAACTAATGCTAACCCTAAGCTTAAGAAAATAAAAGAAATTCAAGAGACATGTCCAACAACTATAGTTATTCCATGTCACCACCGTAGCCCCAACTAATCCTGCAAAAGAAGCTCGGCTGTGCTAAAACAAAACATACCCGAGTTGCCAAGAGACAAAACGGGTCAGTATACAGGTATACTGGTATGAGTACAAGATTTCACTCCCATATGTCCACCAGACACAAACAAAAATACATTCAATTCTTGTGACGAGACAAGACAAGTAGTTCCATCCGCACCAAGACGAATGGGTAGTTTCCCGAGATATGGTGGCATTTAGTTTCTTGCCCATGCACAATGAAATATAAATTGAGTATAAAATAAACAAAATATAAATAAAAATATGGTGGGTCAGCCCTGCATAAAAAGTTAGTAAGACCCACCATCTTGAAAAAAAAATAAAGTTAGTATAATTTAATCCTAAGTAACTGCTGAAGAAGTATAAAAATGCACTGTTTCATGCTTAAATAATTTGAATTGACCAAAACTCAAAGAAAAGAAGTTCTGCAAAATCAAATTTCCTAAAAGACAGCTTGGACAAATTTAGTAGAAACTGAAAAGGTTGAGAGAAAAACTTAATAGAATATCCTAACTGAATTTCGATAAAAAAATTTGGAACTGAAAATGAAAAGAAACTGTTGTAAGATGAATTTTTTTCAGAAAAGTTCAAAATGCAAAAAGTGTTCAGAATAATGTTTTACTTCAATTTACGCAAAACCAATAAAAATGAACTCTTTTCGTGGGTTAAAACAGCATCTAAAGTCTGCATTGCCAAAATGAATTAAAACTACTATAATCAAGATCATCCGATTATAAGTTCTAATCGATCTTTTTAATAAAAAGTTAAAACACAAAAGTTGTCTAGAATCACGTATACATGCCTCTGCTCAAATTTCATAATTTATTGAGGTCGTTTACTATTTTTCAACCTGTACAAATCAATACAATACACACTATAACAATAAACTCATAATTAAATTCTTTGTACCTTAACTCCACCACTTCGGTCCTCCACTTCCGACCTACACATATATCCCATTTGTCTCCCGTATACCTAACACCGCTCTGATATATATACTCAACATCTCACACATGAGAATAAACATAACAATGCCGAGCCTAAGGCATTCAAATAAATCTCATAATCCTCACTTTTTTTTTTTATATATACTCTTTCTCACCATCACTCAAATAAAACAACAATCCATGGAGTCATTGTGGAGTATAAAGAATTTATCTATGAGTTCCTAATTAATTTTAATTTCATATAACCATGAGTGTGAATATAACCATAAAATAAATCCATATAAAAACCTTAAACCTGGCATACACAACTAATCAAAATAATTAAAATCCATCAATCATCTAAAAATCCTAAACCTTACATACACAACTAAACAAAATAATTAAAATCAATCAATCATCTAAAAACCCTAAACCTTACATACACAACTAATCAAAATAATTAAAATCGATCAATTATCTACATGCAAATATGAAATTAATTCAACATCAAATAAATAAAAATAAATAAATAAAAACAACGGATTAAATATAAATCAAGGAAAATGGGTTTTGTACTCACAACATTTTTTTGAAGATCAAAGAAATATTTGGAGAATTAATGGAGCCACCAAAACAAAACCCCAACCCTTTCTTTTTCTTCCCTCTCCTCTTTCTCCCCTTGCCGCCATCCCTCTGTTTCTCTTCTTTGCTCGCTCGCTCTCTCTCTCTCTCTCTCTCTCTCTCTCTGTTTGCTCTCTCTTTTTTGTTTTCTTTCTTCTTAACTTCTAAACCTAATCCCTATTCTAATCTAATTTGACTATTATATAATATAATATTATATAATACAACATAATTACAATATATATAAATATATATATATATATATATAACACCTCTTTTTTTTATATATATAACAAATATAAATATATGGATTAATAAATTAATTAAATAATACATTAAATTAATTAATTATCACATTAAATTCTCATGTAACCACGTAGTTAAGAAAGACAAAAATAAAATAAAGTAATAGTACTAAATAATGACTTACGAAAAAATCAGGGTCTCTACAGATAGTCTTTGTCTGTTTGTATTAACATTTGTATTGTGTTTGGTTCATGGATTTATATATAAATTTGGAAAGAAAAAGAAAAAATACAGAAAATGTTGGAGCAATTGAAAATTGAATCAGGGGGTTGTTTTCCTCTGTGGTCAGGAGGGCCTAAGTTCCAAGTTAATTGTTCAAATGGTGATCAGTGGGTAGTGGATCTGGATGAACATACTTGCTCATGGTGTGGCTTCTATCTGGTACAAGGGTGAGACACCTGAAGATTATGTGAATAAATGCTATTGGACAGAGACCAATTTAAAGATTTATGAAAACATGATACAACCTCTAGATGGTCCTAAATTGTGGTCCAAGATTGGATTATTACCCCCATTACCTCCTGTTTATCATAAGCCTCCAGGAAGGCCTCCAACTTCTAGAAGGAAGGGACTAAATGAACGTACCAAACCTACATTACAGGAAAACATAGCAAAAAACACGGAGCTTTTAGCGACGCCGCGCCCCCGTCGCAAAAAACGGTTTTTTGCGACGGTAACGTCACCCGTCGCAAATAATAGCCTTTAGCGACGGCACTTACCCGTCGGTAATGAAACTAAGCGGAGGGGTCGGAAATGCGGAAGTATTAGCGACGGTAAAGAAAACCGTCGCAAAACACCTTTTTTTTTGAGACAGCATATCTCATTTGCGACGGAAATTTGCCGTTGCAAAAAAGTATTAATTCAAACGGCGCCGTTTTACGAACTACTGCCTTCTATTTGCGACAGTCTACAGCATACCGTCGCAAAAAGTCAAAATAAAAAAATCCCCCCTCTTCTTTTTCCTTTTGCCGCTCGATCCTTCCTCCCCAAATCCCTAACTTCACCCCCAAATTTCTCAAACGGGCTACGAGCAAGACAGCGGTGGTGCGGCGAGCAAGCCAGCGGTGGTGCGACGGCGACGGCGACAAGTAGTGGTGCTCCGGCGACGACTCTCTCTCGCTCTGCGTATGCTCTCTCTCTCTCTCTCTCTCGGTCTCTGTATATATATATATATATATATAGATGAATGTCTATATATAGATGAATGTCTATATATATAAATCTGTATATATATACAATGTATATAAATCTATATATATATAAATCTGAAATCTGTCTATATATATATAAATCTGTAATCTGTCTATATATATATAAATCTGAAATCTGTCTATATATATATAAATCTGAAATCTGTCTATATATATATAAATCTGAAATCTGTCTATATATATATAAATCTGAAATCTGTCTATATATATATAAATCTGAAATCTGTCTATATATATATAAATCTGAAATCTGTCTATATATATATAAATCTGAAATCTGTCTATATATATATAAATCTGAAATCTGTCTATATATATATAAATCTGAAATCTGTCTATATATATATAAATCTGAAATCTGTCTATATATATATAAATCTGAAATCTGTCTATATATATATAAATCTGAAATCTGTCTATATATATATAAATCTGAAATCTGTCTATATATATATAAATCTGAAATCTGTCTATATATATATAAATCTGAAATCTGTCTATATATATATAAATCTGAAATCTGTCTATATATATATAAATCTGAAATCTGTCTATATATATATAAATCTGAAATCTGTCTATATATATATAAATCTGAAATCTGTCTATATATATATAAATCTGAAATCTGTCTATATATATATAAATCTGAAATCTGTCTATATATATATAAATCTGAAATCTGTCTATATATATATAAATCTGAAATCTGTCTATATATATATAAATCTGAAATCTGTCTATATATATATAAATCTGAAATCTGTCTATATATATATAAATCTGAAATCTGTCTATATATATATAAATCTGAAATCTGTCTATATATATATAAATCTGAAA